AGATGAAGCTCTGGGCACTCAATTTCAGTCTAAGTCTTCTCTTCAGTGGTGATTTGTCTGTCGCTTCTTCCCCTATGCATATTTAGTGACAAGGTGCTACGGACAGGACATGTGAAGGGGTGCAAAGAAGGTCTCCACACACGAACAGTGTGAACAAGGAGCTGGACAGGGTATAGCTACCTCACTCACTGATTATACCAAACATCCAATTGTGATAACTGCTAATAAGGTTATACTGAGTGAGGGGGATTCTGATTAAGAATTTAACCACTTCGGGACCCGCGTCGACTATAGTCCATAGCCACAGATGAATGCACACAGCGACCAAGGCCAACAGCTGTGATATGAAGGCGCACAGCCAAGCGTCGACTTTAGCCGACAGCCGTGATATGACTTTTCTAATTTTTCATTTATTAAAATAAAATTGTGAACATTTAAAAATAACGTAATGAAAACATACATATATATGTTACCTATTCTGATTTACCTTACAAGTAAAGCTGCCTGTAAAGTAAAACAAGCTTTCAGTGCTTTCAAGCTTTCCTCATCACACAAGAGCAAAACGGATTCATCGTCAATGCACAGCACAAACTATCGTGCGGATTATGTGTGCCGGCTGTGGGCAAGGTTTCGTGGACGCTGAGCACCGTACTGAAGTGGTTAAGGAGAGGTTTACAAAGAGGCAACATCTACATTGAGCCTGAAGAGTGGCAAAGGAAGAGAGGAAACACAATAGAAACAGAGAGTACAACATGAGCAAAGGCATGGAAATAGGAATATACACAGCTTGTTCAGGGAACAGCAGATGGTCCCAGGTTGTTGGAGCAGAAAGAATGTAGTCAAAGAGTTAGGAGATGAGAAACAAAGGTCTCTGGATCCTCAGGGAGTCCATTCACCTAGCTTTTCTCAGGTTCAGGGTGGGGCTTCTTTAGCAACTCCCTGGGGATTAGGTCTTTTAGGTGTGCCCTCTCATTTCCTCCTTCTTCCTGTTGTCTTCTCTCACTTTTTTTTGAGTCAGAGTCTCACTCTTTAGCCTGGGCTAGATTGCCCTGGCATCAGTCTAACTCACAGCAACCTCAAATTCCTGGGCTCACGTGATCCTCCTGCCTCAGCCTCCCGAGTAGCTGGAACTACAGGCATGTGCCACCATGCCCGGCTAATTTTTTCTATTTTTAGTTGTCTGGCTAATTTCTTTCTATTTTCAGTAGAGATGGGATCTTGCTCTTGCTGATGCTGGTCTTGAACTCCTGAGCTCAAGCAATCCTCCTGCCTCTGCCTCTCAGAGTGCTTGGATTATAGGCCTGAGCCACCATGCCCAGCCTACCTGTAGTCTTCTCTTGACCTCAACCCCTATGTCTTTTTTCACCCCTGCATATAAAAAGTCCTTTTCTTTTTTATTTTCCAGTAGACTTTGCTGGTCTGGCATTTACTTACCTGCCACTTGTTGTGAAATATATGGTAGATGAAATGGCATAAGGCTTTGTAAAAAGTATTGATCCCTTCAGGTAAAAATTTGAGCCTAGAAAAGTGGGAACAGGGCAGCTAATCTAGCTAGACTCTGCATGTGTGGGTGGGGAGGAGGGTGGAGTGGCGGGAGAGAGATAACAATGAAGTAAGAAAATGATACTTGGCATATAGTTGGCACTTAATAATTATTTGTTGAATAAATGAATTAGAGAGCAGCTTGATGGACCCTCACGCATTGCAGGGTGTCTCTAAGGTGTGGCCATCTGCCTCTGTAAGAGCACTTCCAATTTGGGAAAGAGGAAGGAAGAGGAAAAGAAATGTGTGTATTTTGGCCCTCCATGAATTTGTGTTGAGGCCAGGTTTCTTCTGGAGTTAGGAATTCCTTGTCTGGCAGTTTTCTCTTTCAGGAGAGAACTGTGTGTGTGTGTGTGTGTGTGTGTGTGTGTGTGTGTATGTATACGTGTATGTGTGTGCACATGACACACACGACCCACATGACACACAAATACAATGACCCAATGTATATTTCCTTCCAGTCATGATAAGACCTGAAGACCTCAGGTTACAAAATTCTTGCTTTACCAAAAGGTAAACTGGGGGTAAAATGGTTAGAAGGAAAAAAGTTAACATTCAGGGAGAGTCCACTTTTAATTGGTAAAGATAGGTGTTTGGCACTTAGGGTGCAAAGAAGACTTGATTCTAAACTCAAAGACCTTTTAATGTGGGGATAAATAAAGCCAGAGTATTTAATGCATGGGACATAGTGCAATAACAGAACCAAGGGCCTGCGATTCCAAGTGTGGTTCCACCAGCAGCAGCATCTCCTGGAAATTTGTTACAAAGGCAGACCCTCCAGCTCCACCCCAGACTGAATGTGAATCTGTCTTAACAAGTCCCTACTAAATTCTATGCATATTCATATTTGAGAAGTAATGGCCTGGGGGTGGGGATGGGATCTGGGAATCTTTGTTAGAGGAAATAAATCCTGAGCTGTGTTTTGAGGATGAATAGGGTTAACCAGGTGGTGTTCCAAGTAGAAGGAACAATACAAGCAAAAGTATGGTGGCATGAAAAAGTATAGGGATGTTTTGGGACCCAGTAGCCTGAAATTGGTAATCAGAAGAGAGAGTGTGGGAGAGAGGAGGAGAAGGAAATGTAGAGAGATGGTGAAGATCAAGTAGGCCAGATCCTGCTGCATGTGCTCCAGGTTAAGGAGCTTTCACTAGACCTAATCAGCGATAGGGATGTATGATGACATGTTCAGATTTGCATTTAGATCACCACAACGCTGAGGAGGCTGAAGGGCAGAGAAATTAATTAGGAAGCTATGGCAATAGTTTTGGAGAGAGATGAGAGTCTAAGCTCAGGTAGTGGCAGTGAGGATGAAAAGGAGGGGGCACATTTAAGGAATTTTAGGTCATGAGCAGATGAAAGACTTCAAAATAGATCGCAGTGGGAGGCTGAGGCTTGACTGAATGACTCGTAGGCTTCTGGCTGGGATTAGTGGGTGGTTGCTCATGATGCCACTAACAGAAATGAAAGAACACAGGAGAATGAGCAGGTTTGCGGAGGGAAATTATGAGTTCAGTTTTCAATATGTTTAGCACAGGTCCTTGACTTAACTATGGTTCGACTTTACGATGCAAAAGTGATATGCATTTAATAAACATGTTACTGCCAGTTTTGAATTTTGATCTTTTGCCTGGCTAGCAATATGCAGTAGGGTACTCTCTCCAAATGCTGGACAGTGTCCCCCTGTCAGCCACTTGATTACGAGGGTAAACAACCAATATTCTACAGTGTGTTATGGTACCAGATGATTTTGACCAGCCGTAACCTAATGTAAGTGTTCTGAGCACTTTTAAGGTAGGTCAGGCTAAGCTATGATGCTTGATAGGTTAGGTGTATTGAATGAATTTTTGACTTGTGATATCTTCAATTTATGATAAGTTCACTGGAACATAACCCCAAGTTAGTTGAGGAGCATCTGTACAGGAAGACAAAAGGAAGGTAACAAGAAATGGGCAGTGAACAGGATGAATCAATCAGGGTGGAGAAGGAAAATGATGAGGAGGAAAAAAGGCCCTGCCCAGATTTGGGATGACAGTAATACATATAGTGTATCTGTGAATTTATCTTACCAGTTATGTTTCCATAGGCTGCCTTGTTGGAGTTTGGTTCCAGCAGCTGGGTAGACCCTGAAGGAGAACAAATAGTTTGATTTAAGGTTTTCTGTCTGGTAATCAACTCATTGTTGCCACCCTTTGCTCTATATTAAAAAAAATTAACTTGTGGTTCAAGCTGCTCCAATATCAGAATGATCAAACCAGTTATCTTTTTCCATATAGCCTCCTGGGTGAATAACTTTGCCTACTGTCCATAACACTATTTCCAAAGTGGCAATAATACAATACCTGTGTGTGTGTGTGTGTGTGTGTGTGTGTGTGGTGTGGTGTGGTGTGAGGGTCATCCTTCAAGTTTTGGATGACTGCTTCTGCCACTAATCTTCCCTCTCTGTGAACTGTTACAGATCTTTTTTTTTTTGCACCTTAAAATTCAGGACTAGATCAAAGCTTGTCTCTAAACTTCTTTTTTTAGATTTAACATTTTCTCAAGAAGTACTAGTTACTGAAACAGAAGAGAACTTTTTCCAATAGCATCTCTTGAGTCTTGAAAATAAACATTGGTGACAGTTTCAGGCTCCTAATCAAATCAGAATCCCTGAAGAGAGGCCTGACTATTGGCACTTACTAAAAGTGTCATGATCAAGAAACACTGCCTTAGATGGACTCAGCCCACCCCATGAATAATTATATCTTCAAAGAGAATGAAATACAATATTTGGCTAAAGAGAACTTTTTATAAACACTAATTGCTAATAAATATTACATCTCATTTTATGTCAAATATATATTTTACATTATCAAAGTGTTCAAGAAATTTGGAGAATACAGAAGAATAAATATACATGTATATAGAAAAAGTTATCACAAAAAGAATCATAGTTCATGTTTTGGAATTTTTCTTTGCATTTTATTTCTATGCTTTATGGTTCAAAAAAATGTATAGACATAGTAGTTATCAGATTCCATATGCCATTTTGTATCTTGCTTTTCAAATTTACCACAGAGTTCTAAAAACATCTTGACAACTGCACAAGTTCTTAACAATTTTTGATCAGTCATCACTAGCAAAAGGTAGGCACGAGGTTTTATTAGTTTGGGCAAGATGAGAGTATGCCAACCGTATCCTTTCGCGCTTGCCAGGTTCAAACATGGCGGGCCGCAGCCAGCCTTTCCAGTACACTCAGTTCGCTTTCCCACAACCCCCGCCAGTCTCTGGCGCTTCCTTTTCACCTTCCTTCCCCCAGGCCAGTTGCACGGTGTCAGCACCCGAGAGCGTGACAGCGGACTTACTTTCCGCGCCCTCCCCACCCACGCGAGGCCCGCCCACCAGCTCGCGTCAGCCAATAGCAGGCCGCGCTGAGGCGGCTGTCGGCGCTGGTCGGCCCCACCCTCCAGCCTCGCTGTGGCCTGCGGCTCCCAGGTTGGTAGCGCCGCTCCCGGTCGCGCGTACTCGTCGTGTGGAACCGCGGGTCTAGGGCGCTCGCTGCCGGATACAGCTAAGCCCAGCGCCGCCGAGGCCGTCGGCCCCCCAGCCTCCGCCATGGACTTCGAGGACGGTAAGCGCTGCCTCGGGCTGGTCTGCTCGCTGGCGGGCGGCGGGGTGGCCTGCGCTGGGGGTCTGTTTACCGTCTCAAGATGGCCGTGTGGGCTTTGTTCTGCGGGCCCGAAGGCCGCCCGCCCGCCCGCCCGCCGCGGGCCCAGCGCCCGGAGTCGGCCTCTGTGGGGACCTGCGCGCCCCGATTCGGCCCGCCCGGCGCCGCTGCCGGCGGGGACCTGGGAGCTCGGTACCGGCTCGATGCCGGGAAGGACGCACCCAGAGCGCGAGGGCGTCAGGGCCCGGGCCCGGGCTCGCCTCAGCTCCTGTGCGTGGAAATTTCCCCGACGCCTCCAACTTCCCGGTGTCGGGCGCAGGGGCGAGCGGGCCTCGCCCACCTCGTCAGGCATTCGGCCCACAGGCAGCGACCCAGATCCTCCTTGTAGTTAATCCTCAATCTCGGGTTGCTTCTTGCCAGATAAAATTTTCAGAGGCTTGTTCGCGGTGCTGTTTCTGATTGTCTTAGTTTAGGATGAGTTTAGAGGGCGTCTGTAAGTGATCTACGTAGAGGTGGGTGTCTGTTCAGAATGGAAAGCGAGATAGTTCCTGGTCAGCGGACTGGGAAATTTACCCACCCAGATTTTACCTCATTAATCCCTAGTTTGAAATATTTCTTTAACCAAAGTACTTTTCTTTGGATTGTGTGTGGATGAGTTTTAAGTTAGTCAGAATTTTGGCACAGCAAGCGTCAAATGCCCTTCACATTCAGACCTACACGCAGCCGCCTGTGTTGGACTTACGGATTAAATAAACTGTATTTTAGCGACACCTTTTTCAGTCGTCTCTGACAACCGTTCTTTAAACCGTTTTCGTAGGATCACAAAGTAAAATTAATTTGATCTTCACCTTGACTTTAAATCTGGTCCAACTTGTATAGGAATTGATATCAAGATAAAATGGTATGTTAGTGACAACGTTAGGGAGATTTGGAAAAGGACTTGTGTGATTAAACTGTATTTGATCCTGAGTAACCAGGCCTTTCTAAATCAAACCAGGTCACTGGGTAGTGGTAAACCTCTAATCCCACCAACAAATTATTCTTAACATTAAATGAGGTGTGATCTCTGCATATGTCTTACCGAATGAGCTTTTGGTTTTTGATAAGATTTCATGCTACCGAAGAGTTAAAACTGTCAAAGCATATGAAAGGGGAATGGAATAACTCTTTTGTAGATACTTTTCAGTTACTTTGAAATAGGAATTTTAGCTCTTAAGAGTAGCACACACACTGAGCTGTTTTTGTTTGTTTTAGTTGGACTTTGACTCATTTTGATGTAGATACCTTTAAACTATGAATATTTGAAGTGGCTAGAATTTAGAGTGGAAATAATTACATTACTGTGTTTTCGTGCTAAAGTTTGATGGCAGTACCAACACCCAAGGTACCGCCCAGGCTAACAAGGTAGGGGGTGGGGCAATGGGAACAGTTCTTCCCCCCCAACCAAGGTAATAAGGGAATCCATTTTCTGTAGAGAATTAAAAAATATTAAAAAACTTAGTAGGTTTGTTTTTTATTATTGGTATATGCTTGCAGTTCTAAACTGTGTCAGTGATAAAACTAAGTGATGTTAGTGATAAAAAATTCCCTGTCTCACTGCCCATCCTTAGCCACCACTGCAGTATTTGGGAGATAGAGTTTGACTAACATTGTATCTGTTTTTTTCTTCCCTCCCACTCCCCCAACATTGTAGCTAAATCAAATCCTGTGTAGTGTAGCAGGGTTCTGTTGTATCCAAATGACCACCGTATTAAATTCTGTTTTTTCAGTATTTGTAAAATTAACAGATTTAACATTTGTTAAATTATTAATAGTTTTGACAAGAAAATTGGCAATATAGTTTTCAGTGATGCTATATTCTGGATGGATACAGAACACATACATATATGCATATGTGTCAGATAAGATGTCGCCATCTTTAGAGATCAAATTAAGTGATAAAAGAAATATTAACTTTGAAAAATTTTGTATTACATAGAATCAGTTTTCATGGCTCTGCTTTTGCATTATTTGATACATAATTTACTGTATCTGCCTTCCTTTTTGTTACTCAGTATAAATTAGTACTGGTTCCCCTCTGTTGGCTATTGTGTGTCAGGTGTTAAAAACTAACTTGCATTATAATTTGTATAATAAGCCTGCCATTTAAAGAGGTAGTGAAGAAAAAAGAGTTATGTGTTTTCTCAAATGGGTTATTGGTAATTATTTACACCCCAATTTTGCAGCTAATTGAGTTAATAGCATTTAAAAATTGTGTTTGTTTTTGAATAGTTGGGAATATAATTTTGGAGTTTTGCTAATATTGCCCTAATTTATTTTTGTTAAATATGTCTTCATAGATTACACACACTCTGCTTGCAGGAATACTTACCAAGGCTTTAATGGTAAGTATCCTCTTTCATTTTATCTTAAATTTGTTGAGGGAATGTATTTCAGCCTTTCTCTTCATACCCATACAAAGTATCACTATAAAAAACCAGTTCTGGCTGGGCGCTGTGGCTCACGCCTGTAATCCTAGCTCTTGGGAGGCCGAGGCGGGCGGATTGCTCAAGGTCAGGAGTTCAAAACCAGCCTGAGCAAGAGCGAGACCCCGTCTCTACTATAAATAGAAAGAAATTAATTGGCCAACTGATATATATATAAAAAAATTAGCCGGGCATGGTGGCACATGCCTGTAGTGAGACTCTTGAGACAAGAGTCTCACTCTGTTGCCTGGGCTAGAGTGCTGTGGTGTACGCCTAGCTCACAGCAACCTCAAAGTCTTGGGCTCAAGCAATTCTTCTGTCTCACTCAGCCTCCCGAGTAGCTGGGACTACAGGCATGTGCCACCATGCCCGGCTAATTTTTTCTATATATTTTTAGTTGGCCAATTAATTTGTTTCTATTTTTAGTAGAGACAGGGTCTCACTCTTGCTCAGGCTGGTTTTGAACTCCTGATTTTGAGCAATCTGTCTGCCTGGGCCTCCCAGAGTGTTAGGATTACAGACGTGAGCCACCATGCTGGCCTGTTTTGGCTCTTGATATATCACTTTTCAGTGTTAATGGTGTCATACTATATAACTATATATAGTATTTGAATTTGAAATCAGAAAAAATTAGGAGTTATTCAGATTAGTTTGACTTTTTGTCTGTCAAAAGAATTGTGATTCTTTTAATTTATCCCAAAGGCCCTGATTACATTCTGAGTGATGAATTTTATAAGACACTGGCTGAGTTCTTTCTGGTGAATTAGAGGCTTAGGTATTGAGTAATGTAGATTAAGTGGATTATTGGCTTGATTTTATGTGGCCTCTATTTGTAATGCGTTTTAACCTTGTCATTGAGGTCATTTTCCTCAATGTATCTACTAAATGTGTTAACATATGAAGAGCTGTCTATAGGAGTACATGAAGAAGCCTGATTATTTATTGATATAAGCAAGATGTTAGACTTGTAACTACAGACCTAGATAGAATCATGGAAAATATGAGGAATATAATTGGTTGTCATTCTGATAGTTATTTGAGTTAAGGCCCTGCCAGAGAGGATAATAACACAAGAAAAGGACACAGAACAATTCAAAGAGGTTAAAAAATTGTATGAAGGACTTAGGGGAGTGGCATTAAATATCCTGACAGCCAGAGAAAAGCAAAAGCCAATTGCTGTTCACAATAGAATATATTCACAAAGTGAAACTGAAACAAATGTACCAGTAAAGAAGACTGTTTCTTTTTATAGGAATAATTACTGTAGAATTAATTTTTGTTTATCATTTCTATGGATTAAGAGAAATTTTGGATTTTATTCAGGCTCAACGTACAAGAAGTAGTTTATATATTATGTGAGTGCTGAAGAATATGTTTTTAAGCAGGAGAGTGACATAATAAAATTACTAAAGGAAGTTTAATTTGCATCCACATGCAGGTTAGATTGAAAATTGGAAAATTAGCTAGAAAGGCATTTCATGACTTTAGATGTAAGGATTTTAAGAATCTGAAGTTGGGGAGTGACAATAGTAATTTTAAAAATATTAAGATATTTTTTAGAGAAAATTAGCAGAACTTGCAGGTGGACTAGTAATGAGTAGAAAATTGAGAGGGTTGAATAAGAAGGAATCCAGGATTTTAAACTGGAGTGAGTAGGAGCTTTTACCAAAGAAAGAGAAAGAGAGATTTGGGATAATAGATGGCCATGATCTCCAGTAGGATTTACTGGAGGGTTAGATTTAATGTCTAAACATAGGACTTGAAATACAGAATTATGCAGGGCCAGAAGTTTATTTCCTTATTAATGCACAGTGTTGCAAAAAGGTCTAATGTTATAGCTTTAATTTTTTCTCTTAATTTTAGTTTGAACAGTGGTACCTATCTGAGGGTGATTGATAGAATACCCTGGGGGAGCTAGGAGCTTTTACAAAGTCTGTTCAGGTCATATCCTAGATCTCTTGAATCTTAATTTTAGGACAAGTCCTTCCTGGCTATGTATATTGTGGAAAAGTACTCTGAATGATTTTGGAATGCACCTCTGGTTAAAGGCCACTGCTTGACAGTCTTTGAGGCCTAGGCTATCTTTATTTTACAAATGAGGAACTTAATTTCAGGGACTTGATTTGACTTCATTCAACAAATATTTATTTAGGCCTGCTATGTATTGTTCTAGGAGGTAGGAATGCAGTAGTGAACAACATAGACAAATATTCCTCCCCTTGTGGAGCTTCAAGGGTGGAGTGAAATAGACAATAAACAAGATAAAGAAGTAACAAATATTGTATGTTAGATGATAATAATTGCTAGGGAGAAAACTAATGTAAGGAAAGGGGACCGATATGTCTTTGTGTAATTTTAGAGTTGTTGGGGAAGAACTCACCAAAAAGATGACATTCGAGCATAAGATTTAAGGGAGGTGAATATGTCAGCTATGAGGTTATCTAAAGTAAGAATGTGATAGGTTTTAGGAAATAAAAGATGTGTAGATACCCAAAAGCCCAAACCATATTTCATTGTTAGCATTGTTTTTTCTAGCAACTGAAATGAAGAAGAAGTTACTGGAAAACATGACAAGATGCAGATTTTCTCCCCACTGTTTCCTGGGAGGAACTTGTATTTCTAGTGTCTCCATGTTTTCTCTCTTGTTTTGTAATACTTTTTGTACAAATGGCAGATAGAAAAAGGGAGAGCATTCCAGGTAGAGGGAATAGCAGGAACAAAGGTATGGCTGAGTGCATTGTACTTCAGAGAGACAGACTTAAGACTGGCTTGACTAGAACAGGTGATTTTTGCTGAGCAATCTTTAAGACAAGATTAGAGTGGTGAGATATAGCCAGAAGGTGTTGAAAATCAAAGATAATTTTCTTATAATATATAAGAATCAGTAGAAAGTGAAGTCCTGAAAGAGAGGGAGTGAACAATACAGGTACAGGGGAAGAGGATTGCAGGCAGAGGGAGCAGCAGGTGCAAAAATGGGTGTATACTTGTTGTGTTCTAGAAACAGCAGGGCCATTGTAGCTGGAGTGGAATAAATGAGTGTATAGTAGATTATGTTGATGTGATGGGCAGATCATATAGGACAGGGTTTCTCAACTTTGGCACTATTGACATTTCAGATTGGATAATTCCTTGTTAGAGAATGGCCCATGCATTGGAGAATGTTTAGCAGCATCCCTGGCCCCTATGCACTAGATGGCAGTAGCACATGCTTCTTCATTGTAACAACCAAAAATGTTTTCAGACATTGCTCATGTCTCCTGGGAGCAAAATTGCCCCTGGTTAAGAACCACTGGTGTAGGTCCTTATAGGTTATTTTAAGGCTTTGACTTTTAGTTTGAGTAAATGCGAAGCCATTGGAGGGTACTGAGCATTGGAAATGATTTAACTTATATTTTTTATCAGAATTATTCTGACAAAATAATAAATAGGGAGCAAAAGTGGAAGTGGAAAAATGTTAGGCTCTTGCAGTAATCTAGGTGTAGATGCTAGCAGCCTGCACTATGGTGCTGGAAGCGCAGAGTTGGTGAAAAGTAGTCCCGTTCAAGACTTAGTGCCACACAGCTACTAATAATTAATTATTTTGGTTGTAAGTCAGTTTTTTCTTCCCTATTCCACAGCTGCTTCCTTTTGTTTAGTTGTAACATTTTTGTGCTTATTATTTATATGATAGAATGATCCAAGTGATAGAATAGATCTAAATTATTATATCAGTTTATTTTTCTGAGTAAATTACTTTATTATTTAAAAGTGATTTTAAAATTTACTTTAGTAACCTGGAAGAAAAGTTGTTTATATATAAGCAGTACAGAATCTATGTTCCTTTAATTGTGCAGATTGTATACAATATAAAAACTTCTCTTTAATTAACTGAATAACAATACTGTGAACCATACTATGAATGATGGACCAGAATCACTGCTATACAAAAGTAACTTTATTAATTTTTTTGTACTCCACAGAGCCTGGCACATACATGGTCAGTGTGCAGTAAATGTTAATAATTTTATGATTGCATAGTGAAATAAAAACATTTAGAATTTTAAGAACTAAATGATTTAGTATTCAAAGGCAGCCACTGCTACCGAAAACAAACTGGCAGAAATAGCAAAATATAAGATTTTTTTGCTTTGTGTATATTACTAAACCTAATTTTAAGATTATTTTTTAATGTGAGGCCTTAGATAAAAACTTTTTATTTTGAAAACTTTATTTTAATCTCAAAATTGTCCTCTGACAGATATAGGCATAAATTATACTATGTACTTAACCCCCTGTAAGACAAATAATTGACTTCTATTAGTATAGAACTGTATTGTTTAATATGGTATCTACCATCTACTTTACTATTGAGCACTTGGAATGTAAATAGTGTGAATTGAGATGTGCTGTAAGTGTAAGTTTCACACTGGATTTGACATCTTAATATGAAAAAAACAATACAAAAATCTCAATATGTTTTGTATATTAATAAACAAATACTTTTTTTACTCTTATAATAAAATATTTTAATTATAAAAGATTTTTACTCTTATATTAAAATCCATCAATGTCTTATACTTACACTTTGAATGAATTTCTTTTTACCATATCTGATTCTATAATATTAGGCATTAGTTATCTGGAAACTGAGTTATACAGATTTTCCAAATATTAACAGGTTTTATTGTACAATATAAAAAATAATATTAATTGATACCACCACCAACCTTATCAGAAAAGCCTTTAAGTATTGGGAAGCTATCAAACTCAAGATGGTAGATAGAAGTTTTATAAAATTATAATTTTCACTTGAAAGCATGTATTTTATCACTGGCAGCAAAATTGTCATTTGTTTTTCTTGAAGTGATAGTTTCACTTAGTTCATTTTTGAGAAAATGTCTGCCAAATACTCAAATCTGAAAACCATAGCATTTGTCTGTCAGTTTTTCTCTTTAGTAAAAAAGTGCTCCTTGTAAAAAACTGGCTTACTTAATTCACAAACCAAACACTTGCACAATGGCTTTTCCTGGACAGAACTATGATACTTTGGTATGTAGCAAAATTGCTTTATGTGTACTTCTGTTTCACTACACAGAATATAAAAAAGATGTGTACTCAAAGGTCATGATTTAATAAAATTAATAATTCTTACTGCTTCATCAGGAACATTCTTAAGTGAAGATGGCATTTTTATTTTATTTTTTACCGTGAGTGTGTGATATTAAAAAACATAATGACTACTAGTACAATCTGTTGCCACTGCCTCGATTTGTGTGAAAGTGCCAGCAGTTTTACCACCAGTGCTTTTACATCTTCAATGCAATGTCAACACCGTGAAAAAGGAAAATAATGTTCTAATATTATTTATGAAAATAGTTTTGACCTTGTAAATCCCTGAAAGAGTCTCAGCAACTCTCAGTAGTCACAGACCATCCTTGAGAACTACTGCTCTAAGATACATAGAAAAATTAGTGACAGACCCTTACCCCAAGACTAATAATTTTAAGATGAAGCCACAAAGTTAGACTATAAGATAGAGTATCATAAGTACCACATAAGAGTTACACAGGCTTTTGTAAATTTTCAGAAGAAAGATGATGCTCAGCTGAGAGAATATCAGTAAAAGTTTTCTTGAATTCATTATTAATTTATTAAATGAGCTTTAAAAGGTTAGAAAGTTTCAATCAGAAGATACTTGAGGTGGTTGAGGGAAATGTCTCATGTAGAAGCAAAAGCCTGATGTTCAACAGGGGGATAACTATGGGACTTCAGTAAAATCATTTCATCTCTTAGGACTTTAGTTCCCAAATCTATAAAATGAGAAGATTGAATTTGATCATTTAGGTTTCAAGTTACAAGATTCTTTTTTTTTTTTTTTTTTTTTTGAGACAGAGTCTCACTTTGTTGCCCAGGCTAGAGTGAGTGCCATGGCGTCAGCCTGGCTCACAGCAACCTCAATCTCCTGGGCTCAGCGATCCTACTGCCTCAGCCTCCCGAGTAGCTGGGACTACAGGCATGCGCCACCATGCCCGGCTAATGTTTTGTATATATATATATTTTAGTTGGTCAATTAATTTCTTTCTATTTTTGGTAGAGACGGGGTCTCGCTCAGGCTGGTTTCGAACTTCTGACCTTGAGCGATCCGCCCGCCTCAGCCTCCCAAAGTGCTAGGATTACAGGCGTGAGCCACCGCGCCCGGCCTTCAAGTTACAAGATTCTAAGTAGTATTTTTTGTAAAGTTGTTGTCCTTATTATTGTTAGGACTAGAAATATTTTAAGTGATTGTAAATAAAATTTAGTGTTTTTAAAAATGTTAACTAAGGTATTTGCTCTGTGCATACTATTGTATTTATTTACACATAAATGGGGGGGTAGTAATGAGGGATTTTAAAGCACTTTATAGAAAACAAATTCTAAATGTTTGTTTTAATTTTTCATTTTTATAGGCATTGTAAATTAATTTTGTTACCTCTTTTGTTATATTTATTTTTCATGTCAGAGGTTGGGATATAGGTAGAATTGCAATGTAATAAAATATACTTAGTACCCTTATTAGAATTATTTTTAGTGTTCACATTGCTAGAATTTACATTCATTTCCTTTATTCAAGGGAATTTGAGGATTTAAATACTTGTTGAGTCATTATTTATAGGCACAGTTCCAATCTGTGATTTTACTTTTTAAAAATATCTATTTCAGTTATTGTGAACATGACTAATTGAAAATGTGGCTGCTGAGTTTTCAGACATTTTGAGAGCAATTAGATGCAGAAAATAGGTATACTTATGTCATAGTATACTTATGACAAAAATTTTCTCTTTTGACATTATTGAATACTGACTTCTCTTGAGAATAGGAATTATGTATTATTAATTATCTTTATATATAGTATAGTATCTAATACAAGACCTTATGGTAGTTCCCTAGCAGATAAATATTGGTTAAATGGAAAATAATTCTAATATAGAACTTTTCAGTTGGTAATATGTTTTCTTTGAAATATCAGGCTTTGTTAGCAAATCTGATTTTTTAGTAGATTATCCTTTTTGTGTTTTTTTTCCTTTAACATCAAGTGTGAGTTTAGTTTAAATATTAATGATGAATTATCTCAGGTGGTTGATGTGAATATCTTATGTTTTATGCAGAGATTCTTTAAGATAATGGTGTATTTTACTGACAATTTCTTACTTTCTTTCAGGAATGGATCGTGACTATGGTCCTGGATCTTATGGAGGTCTGACATTCAAGGATATTTATCTAAAAATTCTTCTTTTGAGTGCCAGTAAAGGTGAGCATTGTTTAATTTTTTTCTTTTTAAACTCTTATAGGGATGGATCGTGACTATGGCCATGGATCCTATGGGGGTCAAAGATCCATGGATTCCTACCTAAACCAGTCATATGGCATGGACAATCACAGTGGTGGTGGTGGGGGTAGCAGGTAAATTGCTTAATCACTTAGCCAAATAAATAGACAACTATAAGATTATGGATATATTATTTTAAATATTTCTTAGGCATGTTATGATACTTGAACTTTGCTGTTTGGTATTGAATAAACACCTTAAATGTTTAAAGGTGTTAATAGGTATAAGAATTTATCTCAGGATCACTGGTGAACATTATTTTAGGAAAACCCAAAATAGCTAGTATTTCAGTATAATAGAGTAAGATACTGTTTTTAGCAGTGAACTTTTTAACTTCTTTTACTTTTAACTCCTTGTCAGTCAAAATGTCCTGAACAAATGATATAAAAATATTATTGAAAATATTATTTGTGAAGCTTTTTCCTAAGAACAAAAAAAAATCCTAATGTGGGGTGCTATGTAAAGCAGCAAACCACTCTACTAGAATGGATTTAATTGAATCAGTCTAGCAACATTCAATTTCTAAGAAACATTTAAGATAGGTATTCTATTAATTTTAATTTTAATAAGAGCATATTATAATAATAAAAATGTTCTTTAAATCATGTCCAGGTTATTTATTGGCAGATACTGCTTACACCAAAAACACTTGTGCTCTAGGCCAGGAGCATTGTATTAATGCCATGAACACTGTACCTAAGTTGTATTTATATTTCACTGTTGATACTATATAAAGCTTAAACCTACTTAAACAGCTATAGGCTTTAGGGTTGACCGTATTTCAGGAAAAGGGGATCTACTTTATGAGGCACAAAGATTCCTGCTGAATATAAATAAGACTAGTTAGGAGACATTTGAAACCATCATCCTTCTTCATAAATTGAAGGATCCAGATTCCTTAATGATGGACTGAATAATGCTTACTTTCCTTCTTTCTGCTTCCAGTGTGTCACTATGGCATATAGTAGAGAAAAATCAAGAAAATGAACGATTACTACAATTTTGTTTATGTGAGAGGTGTTTTGAAAAATGTAGTTGAAAAGAAATAATTTTTTATGTGGTTATAAGGATTCAGAAGTAAATGCTAACTTCTATTTAGTGATCTGTAAATAACTGAAGTAATGTAACACATTTAAATGTTTTAATATATCATTTATTACCATATTGCATTGTACATATAATGTGCATAAACTATTTCTGTAGATGTTATTGTTTTATCATGTGTAATTGTGGGCCTTTATGAAATTGTGTTGTAAGACATCAAGTAACTTTTATAATCTATGCTTTGGGTTTGTGAGAAGTAAGATGATTTGTTTTCTTTTGTTGACTCTGTTAAAAACTTGAGGAGACTGTGTGCTCCCTTTTTTAGAGTAGTTTTATGTGATAATTTCCTGACAGGAAGTAATTTTTCAAATAATTGAAGACATTATAAAATGCATTCTTTCTCATCTGCCTTGAAAATTCATATGCAGAGGGTATATGTTGGTGATCTTTTATATTTTATTTTATGTGTTTATCTTTCTAGATTTGTTAGATTTTCTAGTCTATAAGTAAAAAGTGATTGAGGATTGATTGATTATTAACCTTGGCTGGTTTGGCAGATTGTCAAATTTTATAACCAGAGATAATTCCCCAAATTTTGACTACTACAGACAAAATGAAGCAGTTTTATGATACAGATTGTTGGGGTGCAAAAGGATTTCTCTGTGTCACAAAGAGCCTACATCTATGTGGTCTTCAATTTGTGTCCCTTTTGAAAGCCTAAATATTGTAAATGTTTTGTAATTTTTAATATTAGGGATAGATTCAAAGAAAGTTTGAATAGCTTGTGAACTTGAGCAAATGACCTTTTCTAAGACTAGGGCTGGGCTTAAATAACGACAGACAAATCTTCTTAATAAAATAGAAAAGCTGCTAAAAAGCAGATTTTTAAGCTAAGGTTTACTAAACTCAATTCCTATTTAGAAATTGACTCAGATAGCTTTCTATCTGGTCTCATGTTGAACTGCCCAGCCCTAATCAAGCGTGAATAAAAAAGTGGAACTGTGCAAACCAGTATGGTATAAATGAATTTTAGTTGATAAATGTCATCTGATAATTTGTCTTTTGAATTGTCTAACATTAGTAAGCTTACTTTTGTTTTTTCCCTCACTGTGCAACTTTTCCAGGTTTGGACCTTATGAGTCTTACGACTCCAGGTCTTCTCTGGGTGGGCGAGATCTGTACAGATCTGGCTATGGTTTTAATGAACCCGAACAAAGCCGCTTCGGAGGTAGTTATGGTGGTCGATTTGAGAGCTCCTACCGGAATAGCCTTGACTCTTTCGGAGGTAGAAACCAGGGCGGGTCTAGCTGGGAAGCACCTTACTCCCGTTCAAAATTGAGGCCTGGGTTTATGGAGGACAGAGGAAGAGAGAATTACTCTTCCTACAGCAGTTTTTCTTCACCCCATATGAAGCCTGCACCTGTAGGCTCTCGGGGGAGAGGAACGCCTGCTTATCCTGAAAGTACGTTTGGAAGCAGAAACTATGATGCTTTTGGAGGACCATCAACAGGCAGAGGCCGAGGCCGAGGAGTAAGTACAACAGAATCTTTTCAGATTCTTTTCACTAGTCACTCTTTTAAACCCTTTCAAGACCATCGTTTCCAACTAGAATAAACACTGTTCATCCCAGTGTATTTTGAAGCAAAAGCTGAGTCATAAACGTATTTTTTAGGTTGATGCTAAAAGTTTTTCTAGCACCTGAGAAAATAAGTGGCAGTTTGAGATAATCATAAAGTTGTGCCAAATCTCCCTTTATTAAAAAGGTGAGGATATTAGGTTTGGTCTAAAAGGGGTTAAAAGGAGTTGCATTTTTCCTTGTAAACACTAGCAGTTTTGCTGGTGGAACAGTTCTTAGATTTTTGTGAAAGGTCACTGAAGTCTTTTTGAATTTTTGAGTAGGTTAAAGGTGCAATGTATGATAAAAATGTTTATACTTTGTTGCTAAACTCTATCAAGTAGAATTCCTTCAAAGCTCCATGTTTCACATTAAGCAAAGAGACTAAAAGTTGGTGGTAGGTCAGGGTAGCTTAGCCATGGTGAAGAAGTTGATGTGTATAATAGATTGTAGAATGATTTGTGGTCAGTACAATTTTGCTAACTTACTCTCTTACAATATGTCCTATTGCTGGTTGTTTTATTTTCCCTTGTGTCACTAGCTTTACTATTGAGAAATAATTTCCTACCTGTACAGACATGTTTATGGCTCTTTCTTAGGAAGTAATATTTTATAAATTATTGCTTAAATGAATAAATTTATTAGGTCTCAGTGTTTAATTTTAGGGTATATAGTGTAAAGATTATGGTTTATGTTCGTAGGTAACTTGATTGACATGAAATTTTATTAGTAAGTGTATGTAGATTGTGGGGTTATTATGTAGTTTGATCATTTAAAGAATATTGTAAGATTTTTTTTAAGTCAGTTGCTTTTAATTAATATTCTCTTTGCAGAGGAAAGTACTTAGGCTAAAAATTGTAGTAGGGTACACATTTTTGACTGTTTATTAACTTTCGGTATATCAGTATAGCCTGTTATACTTGGTGTAGAAATTTTGCATTTTTAACAGTTATTCTTTGCTTATGTAAAAATGCATTGCACCTTTAATGGATAATTAATGAAGATTTTTCTGATTTGACTATATAAGTTACCTGGAAACACTGCTAGGTTAGATAGGTATTCCTAAGCATAATATACAAATGTAAGCAACTGATGTTGCTGTTCCACCATACTTAATGATTGTAGGTTAATTGAAAATAGTTGATGTAATAGGTTTTGTGTTTTGAAACTGAAAATGAATTCCAGTTTGAAAATTTGGAAAACACTTAACATTTTCCACGCTGTATATTCTTTTAGGCAAGGGAATTTTTTCTTAATGAGACTTCAAATACCAGTTTTGTTTTCATGATAGTAAAACAAGTAGTCCCATACTTTGTATTTACCATTCTAGTCTGAATGGACTTTTCTTTCTTCCTGTTAATGAAGTAAATGAATCAATAGGACCTTCGTTTTTAATCTTCACTTGTACAATTCCCATTGGGTCCTTCTCTTCAGATTACTCCTCAATCTTTATTTTCTAAAAGTAAGATTAGCAGAATAAATTTCTATGGACATGTTGTCTCTTGGTGTAGTGGATTTTGTTAATGACAGGAGAAGAGGAAGGGACATAAAGAGTCGTTTGGTTGCATGACTCTTCGTCTGTAAACTTTTGCTTCTTGGTTTCGGGATCAGAATATGTTTCTCTAGGTAAGAATGTGAATGGAACGTCAGATGCAATTCTTTATCTGAAGTGTGTCTTGGAAGTTGATGCATGGTTATGCTTTAACTCTCCTATTTCATACTAATGTTCCATATCGCCTTCCCATTCCCTTTTTCAACAGGGAGAAATACTAAATGATTTCTGGATCTTTTTTACTTCAAACTACAAATATGGTCTTCTTTGTGTATCTTAGTTTTAAGCCAAGTTTTAGTAAAATAAAGATTTCTTTTAAGGTCTTTTCATGGGAAAACATCAATTAGGAACTCTGAAGAGGAGTTGTCAGAGAGTTGTACAAGTGGTAACATTCTGACAGGCACATATGTTGTTTATGATCTCAAGTAATTTTGAATTGTAAAAATAAAAAAGTAGGTAGCAAATACCCATTATTCTACTGGAAATAAAAATACTAATTTGATGGATTTGAGTACATGTAATAATACAGAGTTTTTCAATGTGTTTTTTCAGAATGGACATGTAAAATTTAGTTATATTCCAGGGAATTTTCAGGTGAAAATTAGTAGATAGATAACATGAAAATTTTATATGAATTCATATTTTATCCTTGGACAACATGCTAATGTTTCTTGATTTCACAAATTTACAGCATATGGGTGATTTTGGAAGCATTCATAGACCTGGAATTGTTGTTGACTATCAAAACAAACCTACCAATGTGACAGTTGCTGCTGCAAGAGGAATAAAGAGAAAAATGATGCAGCCATTTAACAAACCTGGTGGAACCTTTATCAAGAAACCCAAGCTAGCAAAACCAATGGAGAAGATGAGCCTCAGCAAATCACCCAGTAAGTAAGGAAATATAATTGTTGTGGTTCAGGATACTGTTTGTTTTTAAAAATTCAGTGCTTTTAGAAAATTTTTCCATGTTATATAGAAAAACAATTATGTAAAAACATGATTATGATTGTAGCAGTTAGATCTGTGAATTCCCTAGTGCAGTTATTAATCATGTACTCAAGATACTTTTTAAATTTATATGCCCTGGTTCACCCCTTTTTCCTGAATTCCATGTGCTGGGGCCAGAACATCTATATTTTTAAAAAGGCCTTGCATATTATTTTGATCCAGAGTTCTTTACTGAGTGTAATATTTTATTATTGGAGGTAATGTGAAGGAAGTGGTATGTCATATAACATAGACTCTCCTTTATGAGGATAGAGGAAATAAGTTTTTCATGGTCCTTTGTGCTAGGAAAAGCTGTGTTTCTTCTAGAAAATTAATTTGCTTTTACTCTTCTGGATATGATGACTCTTAGAGATAATCATATTTCTATTTTTACATTGTTACAAAATTTAAAGCCAATCTGAAAATAAAATTAAGAAAACAATAAAACAGTTTCATTCATGATAGCATCAGGAAGAATCAAATACTTGGGAATAAATTTAACAAAAGAAATACAAAACTTATACTCTGAAACTACAAAACATTGTTGAAAGAAATTAAAGAAGATCTAAATAAATGGAAGAACTAAATAAATGTTTATAGATTAGAAGACTAACATTGTTAAGATTGCAGTATTCCCCAAACTGATCTATAGATTCAGCACAAATCTTTTCAGAATTCTATTAATAGTTGACTTTGTAAAAATTGACAGGCTCATTCTGAAATTCATAGGGAATTGCAAGGGACCTAGAATAGTCAAAATCATCCTTAAAGAGAAGAACCAAGTAGAAGGACTCACACGTCATGATTTGAAAATTTATTGCAAAGCAGTGGTAATCAAGATAGTGTGGTATTGGTATAAGGACAGACATATAGAGCAGTGAAATAGAATTGAGAATACAGAAATAAACATATACATCTATGGTCAAATCTTTTTTAATAAGTGTGTCAAGACTATTCAATGGGAAGAGAATGGTCTTTTCAACAAATGATGGTGTGGCAACTGGATAGCCACATGCAAGAGCTAAAATGCAAGAGCTGAAATAATAAAACTCTTAGAAGAAAATATGGGGGTAAATCTGACTGAATTTGGCAAGGAATTCTTAGATATGACACCAAAAGCAAGAACAACAAATAAAAAATAGATAAATCAGAGTTCATCAAAGTTAAAAACTTTAGGCTGGGCGCAGTGGCTCAGGCTTGTAATCCTAGCACTCTGGGATGCTGAGGCGACTGGATCGTTTGAGCTCAGGAGTTCAAGACCAGTCTGAGCAAGAGCAAGACCCTGTCTACCAAAAATAGAAAAAATTAGCTGGGCATGGTGGCTCATGCCTGTAGTCCCAGCTACTTAGGAGGCTGAGGCAGAAGGATCGCTTGAGCCCGGGAGTTTGAGGTTGCTGTGAGCTAGGCTGATGCCATGGCACTCTAGCCACGGCAACGGAGTGAGACTCTGTCTCAAAATAAATAAATAAATAAAAAACTTAAGTGCTTCAAAGGGATATCATCAAGAAAGTGAAAAATAGGCCGGGTACGGTGGCTCGTGCCTGTAATCCTAGCACTCTGTGAGGCCGAGGTGGGAGGATCGCTCAAAGTCAGGAGTTCGAAACCAACCTGAGCAAGAGTGAGACCCCGTCTCTGCTAAAATAGAAAGAAATTAATTGGCCAACTAAAAATATAGAGAAAAAATTAGCCGAGCATGGTGGCGCATGGCTGTAGTCCCAGCTACTCGGGAGGCTGAGGCACAAGGATTGCTTGAGCCTAGAGTGTGAGGTTGCTGTGAGCTAGGCAGACGCCAGGACACTCTAGCCTGGGCAGCAGAGTGACAGTCTGTCTCAAAAAAAAGAAAGTGAAAAGCAATCCACACAATGGGAGAAAATATTTGCAAATTATATATCTGATAAGGGACTTGTATCAGAATATATAAAAATCTCTTACAACTCAATAATAAAAAGACAAATAATCATTACAAAGTGAGCAAAGAATCTGAACAGACATTCCTCTAAAAAAGTTACAAGTAGCCAGTAAGTACATGAAAAGGTGCTCAACAATTAGTTATCAGGGAAATACAAATCAAGACTATAATAAGATACCATTTCACATCCAACTGGATAGCTAGAATCGAAACGATAATAAGCCTTAGCAAGGATGTGGAGAAATCAGAACCCTCATATACTGCTGGTAGCAATGAATGTAAAATGGGGCGACCAAGATGAGTAGATAAATGTTCATATGATGGAATAAAGTACCGATGCATGCCACAACTTGGATGGACTTTGGAAAGATTATGTTAAATGAAAGAAGCCAGTCATAAAAGTCCTTATATTATATGAATCTATTCATTTGGAAATATAGAATAAGGAAATCTATAGAGACAGAAAATAGATTAGTGGTTGCTTTGGGCTGTGGGGTGGGACATGGAGGGGTAGTACCTGATTCCCTTTTTCTTTTTGAGGTGATGAAAATGTTCTAAAATTGAATGTGGCAATGATTGCACATATCTCTGAATATACTAAAAACCATTGGTTTGTATACTTTAAATAGGTAAATTGTATGGTATGTGAATTATATCTCTGTAAAGCTTCTTTTTAAAAAAAGTTTAGGCCATGTGAGGTGGTTCATGCCTGTAATCCTAGCACTTTGAGAGGCTGAGGTAGGAAAATTGCTTGAGATCAGGAGTTCAAGACCAGCCTGAGTAAGAATGAGACCTGGTCTCTGCAAAAAATAGAAAAATTAGCCAGGCATGGTGGCACGCACCCCTATAGTCCTAGCTACTCAGGAGGCTGAACCCAGGAGTTGGGAGGTTGCAGTGACCAGTGATTGTACCACTGCATCCTAGCATGGGCGACTGAGACGATGTCTCAAAAAAGAAAAAAAAAAAAGAAAGAAATTTTGGGAGAGCTCCTACAATATGAATACGAATTCTAGCATCCAGAGCTCTCCAGTGTTTGTTGTACTTCTCTTTGCATTCGAGGTCAGGTTACTGTAGTGCTTCCCAAAGTGTTGGTGTTTAAGATGATTTTAATATTTGCTTAGAATAGTAAGAAAAAAATGAGCAGATTTAAAGAAAAATATGTAGCAAATAATCACAAAGATGAGATGCAAATTTGGCAAAATTCTTGATGATGGTATTCAAATGAATGAAGTTTAATCAATGAAGTTTCAGATATACTGGGTAGTCTCAAGCTCTGATTTTTCTGGTGAGTTCAATTTAGATTACCATCACTAAGTAAATCCATAAGTATGTACTTTATGGACTGACGATTGGAAAGGGAGAATGGAAAAATCGATTTTAGTTTTTACTTTTTTGTCTGGTACTCTAGCAAAAACTGATCCTAAAAATGAAGAGGAAGAGAAGCGACGAATTGAGGCTCGGCGAGAGAAACAAAGGCGCAGAAGAGAAAAAAACAGTGAGAAATATGGAGATGGATACAGGTTTGTGCTTAGTTAGCAGATTCAGAAAATTGGGTTCATTAAAAACTAATTTCTTGGAATAGGCAATTACATTGATTGTAATTACATTGATACAATTACATTGATTGTAATGTGAAAAAATTTCTAAGATTCAAATGAAAACATGATCAAAAATATATAGGGATACTTTTGATTCTTGATATTTATGTGTAGTCACCACTTAGAAAATATAAGAAAACAGAGATTCTGTTCATAATGGTAATCTGAAAAATATAAAATATCCAAAAACAACAGTATTCTTAAAAAGAAATACATACCACAACTTGAAGAAAACCACAAAGACTCTTTAAAATTTGAGTATATGCTAAAATAGTGATATTCTTGGATAGGAAAATAAATATTATTATGCAAATATATAACTTCTTTCCAGTCCATATTCCAAAGAAAATTAGGAAAAAGAGTAAATTAGTAGGTACTAGCTTTTCTACATATTGAAACATTAATAATAATAGTTAAAAATATGTGGTAATAGAGCTAATCAGTGTAACAGAATTATTAGCCTGTGAACAGACTGCATTATATATAAGAATATAATATATAATAAAGAAATTATGAACAAAAGGAGAATTGAACAACTAAATAACAAGAAAAAAATAGATTTAGGTCCTCTTTATATACCACCTCGAATGAATCCAGATAGATTAAAAACATAAAAAAATGGAGAATTACAGAAAATAAAATGCTCTGCAAAAGAGATATTTTTTTCTAGGTTTAAAAGTTGTAGAATAAGGTACAAGGAAAATGATGAATAGATTTGGCTAACTAAAAACTTAAAACTTGAAAGCAGACAGATTTGGAAAATATAAACATAAGAACTGATTAATGTCTAAATTAGATAAAAATCACTCAAAGTTTTTTTAAAAAGAGAACTAAGATGTCATATACTTAATTTGGTGAAGGAATGATAGCTAGTTAATAATTTTAGGAAAATTGGCCAAGTGCTGTGACTCATGCCTGTAATCCTAGCACTGTGGGAGGTTGAGCCAGGAGGATTGCTTGAGGCCAGGAGTTTGAGACCAACCTGAGCAAGAGTGAGACCATATCTCTATAAAAAACAGAAAAATTAGCCAGGTACTGTGTTATGCACCTGTAGTCTCAGCTACTCTGGAGGCTGAGGCAGGAGAATCACTTGAGTTTGAGGTTGCAGTGAATTCTGATGAGTCCATTGCACTCTGGCTTGGGTAACAGAGCAAGACTCTTTCTCCAAAAAAAAAAGGAAATTGTTGAAAAGTGATTTAAATAAACTGAAAATTTAAGTAATATGATAATATACCATTTTATTAGTGTAGAGAGAAGAAATACTAAGGTGCAAAGGACATTATTATAATTTGCTGATGACTGTATAGTGTTGTGATTCCTAGAAATCAATTTTTAGCAGTTTTTAAAAATATCTTAAATTTTCTCATGTCCATTGATCTCTGCAAGAAAATAATCTAACAATATAGAAGAGTTTAATGTAAAAAGATGCCCATTATAGCATTATTTATAATAGCTCCCCAAAGGAATCAAATGCTACCGTGTTTCCCCGAAAAAATAAGACCTACCCATAAAATAAGCCCTAGTAGGATTTCTAAGCATTTGCGCAACATAAGCCTTACCCTGAAAATAAGACCACGGAGCAGTAAAGAAGCAGCCCTTCTCATCTGCCTCATTGTGACAGTTACTATCCCAGAGGTGACCAGAAAGGTGCGGGCAGCCTCACCAACAAGGTTGGCTCCCCCTGTCAGGTCCCAGCCATCCTGTGCGTGCTGTACACTGAGGCTTTGAGGGGAAAATAACACATCCTCTGAAAATAAGCCCTACGGTGTCTTCTTGAGGAAAAATAAATGAAAGACTCTGTCTTATTTTGGGGGAAACATGGTAGTTATAGAGAATGATGCAAGTATATGTAAGGTTTGATAACATCCCTTTATGGGCTCTTAGGCCATTGTTAAAAACGAAGGTTATTAAATCTGTAATAACATGGAGAAAATGCAGGTAAAATAGATAAGTATATATGCAAAATGTAAATTATTCATAGAAAAAAAGACTTAGGAAAACTTTTAAAAAGGACTATAATTGTGTTTTTTTCAATCATTTTCTGTGAAATCTTCCCAGGTACTACTTTAGCTAGGAAAATAAAGAATATAAAATTTGAAAGGTAAATTCAATATATTTTCCATTCAAAATATATTTTTATTCTTTAAAAGTTGACATTTTTGTGTAGCATGAAAGGAACTGAATGTTTCACATCAGTGAATTTTCTAGCTAGCTAAAATTTTCTCTTACTTTAAAAGATAAAATTTTTCATTATGCTATATATTAGAAGATAAAATTAAACATAAAAAAAGAAAGAATTAAAAGATAAATTTTTTTTTTTTGAGACAGAGTACTCCGTTGCCTAGGCTAGAATGCCGTGGCATCAGCCCAGCTCACAGCAACCTCAAATTCCTGGGTTCAAGCCATCCTCCTGCCTCAGCCTCCTGAGTAGCTGGGACTACAGGCATGCACCACCATGCCTGGCTAATTTTTTGTTGTTGTTCTATATATTTTTAGTTGTCCAGCTAATTTTAAAAGATAAAATTTGAAGAGAAGAATCCACAAAACCTTTTGATTGAAGTCTTTTTTAGATGTATGACTTTCCTTCCATATTAAACAGGGTACTCGTTGTCATTAGTTGATCTTAATATATACGTTAGTATTGTTTATGTAAAATGTAGTGAAAGAAAATTCAGTTGCATCTTAAGTATCTGATGTGTTTTGTTTGGTCTGTCTTTGATTTTAACCTGGTAGTTACACTTGTGTAATATTAGTGTCTAGCTTTAATAATATCTATCCTTTTTCTGGTTTGTAATTCCTAATTTATTGGGACTTGAGAAACAATAGAATTGAACTTATTAAGAATTAATTCATAAAAAGAAGGTTTAGTTCTAAGAGTACTGCTATTTGTGGTCCTTGCAAGTATCTTTCCCCCTCTTCATCTCTTATAATTCCTTCTTTTGGCAGAGGCTTACTTTGGTGTGGAAATGAATTGAAATTGTCAAATGTGTAGGAGCCAAAAAATGATTTTGAATTATCAAATTCATTTAATTACCCTGTGAATGTTTTTCCCATTAAAAATTGTAGATTTGGGTATGGTATGTTCATGTTAATATAAGTGTTGTGATTTAGAGAAAATGAAAGAACTGAACTTTCATTTAGCTATTTTCTCCATAACTCTAATTATAAACCTGATTATATAACCAAAAGAATGCCAATCAACTAAATTACCATTTTAGGATAAGAATTCTTTAAAATAGCCTAGAATTATTTTAATTTACCAAAGCAGTTTTACTTTAAGTTAGGAGAATTAGAGATTGAGTAAATGACTATTCTTGTGATATGTTCCTTAAGATATTTGAATGCTTTCAGCATAAATAAAGAGGATGGAAAGGTGACTATGCATACCAAAACTTAAGGGAACACAGGGGGAAAGGGATGGATGTGTGAAAGTTGTGCACAAACAATAGTATTGATGAAGATGGCCAAAAGAGAAGTGCAAAGTAGTCTTATGAGAAGTAATTTCTAAATAGGGGTACAGGGAAATCAGGAAGGCTGCATGATGGAAGTGGTATTTGAACTGATCTAGAAATGTTAGGGTTAGAATGTTAGGGTTGCTGGAGGAGTTGAGAGAGGCAGCCCTGGTAGAGGGCATGGCTTGATGTAAAAGCAAAGAAATAGAAATATTTTATTGATATTCAGAAAATGGAAAGATATGTGGAGTCAAGTGATTAGTGATGTGAAATGTGTATTGTAATTTAGGCATTTATTATATTAACGTGTGAGTTACTGTTCAAGGTATTGGTGGGTAAAGCCAAAATGATAGGAGAGATTAGGAAATTCCTACATGGCAGCTGAAAGCATTTTGACTTTACTTTTTGAGCCTTTAAGGAGCCAATGAATCCTTTTGAGCCGTGATGGGCTCTTACCTCCTTTAGGAAGTAACAATGTTAATTGAGTAATTACTATGTGTCAGGAAGTGTTCTAAGGGTTTTATATGTATTAATTTTTTTTAATTCTCTTGAGATCTGTGAAGGTTCTCAAATTATTACGATAAGAAAACCAAGGCCAAGATAAGTAACTTGCCCAACGTCACAAAAGGGAGCTAGGATATAAACCTAGGAGTTGGCTCCAGAGCCTAGTTTCTCAACCAGGAAAATAAATTTAATAACATTGCAAAGAGTTAAAATTGGAAAATGGAGACTAGAGAGAGAAACCTGTTAGGAGTCTGTTGTCAAAATTCATGGAAAAGGAAATAACAACATACATAAGGTAGAAATAAGTAAATGAGGGAATTCATTCTAAAGTGACTGTTGAGCTTCTAAATGTGTGCATTTGTCCAGTCCAGGATTATTAGGTACTCTGAGGTGATCTTTAGGGGCAAGACTTCTGATTACTCAAGAGCGCCATGAAAATGAATTATGGTTGTCTGTTGTGCCACCTGACTTAGTGGTTTAGAAGCTTGAGGGTGGAACAGCATATAAAATAAGTTACGGAACTTTGGAACTTGGTACTTTTTGAGGTTTGCTTTGGGCTTTTTATTAGTAATTGGTCTCATCTTGAAGTAAATAGTTTATAGAGCCACTGATTCTTCTTTTCTTTTCTTTTTTTTTTTTTTGAGACAGAGTCTCGCTTTGTTGTCCAGGCTAGAGTGAGTGCCGTGGCGTCAGCCTAGCTCACAGCAACCTCAAACTCCTGGGCTCAAGTGATCCTTCTGCCTCAGCCTTCCGAGTAGCTGGGACTACAGGCATGCGCCACCATGCCCGGCTAATTTTTTATATATATATATCAGTTGGCCAATTGATTTCTTTCTATTTATAGTAGAGACGGGGTCTCGCTCTTGCTCAGGCTGGTTTTGAACTCCTGACCTTGAGCAATCCGCCCGCCTCGGCCTCCCAAGAGCTAGGATTACAGGCGTGAGCCACAGCGCCCGGCCTGATTCTTCTTTTCTTACTCAGATGCTCCAAGGTGGACTAGAACTGCAAACTGGTATAATGACTGTGCTGTCTAAATAGACATTTAAATTAATACTCTTTTTTCTGACTTAAGCTAAATTTAAGCCAGTCATAAAATGGAAGAAAAAAAATCATTTATGCTGGTAAAATTAGTTTCAATAGTATAGTCTTATGAACTCTTTTCTAAGTGAATAAAGTAACATTAAACGAAAAACTTTTTTCTTTTTAGAATGGCATTTACGTGTTCATTTTGTAAATTTCGAACGTTTGAAGAAAAAGATATTGAACTGCATCTGGAAAGTTCTTCGCACCAGGAGACATTAGATCATATTCAGAAACAAACCAAATTTGATAAAGTAGTTATGGAGTTTTTGCATGTAAGTATCTGTTTTTGAAGTGAGAAACATTTATTTGATGTGTATTTCTTATAATTTCATTTTTCAGTTTCTCATATCTCCCATTTTATGTTTCTAAAAACTTAATTTACTGTTTATTTAAAGAAAGAGTTGTTTTAAAATTAACTGAGAATTAGAAATAGATTCCAGTATGATAGAATTTGAATTTATTATTTGAGAAATAACTTTACATTTATTACAGTAGTTTCTGGCTGAGATGTCACAAAAAGAATTCCTTTAACAACTGTTTATTGATATAGATTCAGCTGTCACTAATTGAGAATCTACTGCATACCTCAGGTTATGCTGGATACTTTCATTCATTATTTCAGTTGGGCCTCATAACAATTCATTACCACGAAAGATCATACAACAGGTGACTTTGTCAGTAGGTGGCAGAGTCTGAATTCAGAGCCATAGAGCATGGTGTCTGTTTAGTGTCCTTTGTTTTATCAGTATGTAGTAATCAATTTAATAGTTTTTTTTTAATACCTATGAAAGATGCTATGTCAGGCATTGAAGACACAGACGCTATCTTCAGTGAACTAGTAATAATTGGAAATTGAACACATTCACAGATACTCAGATGATATAGTTAAGTGGCAATGCCAAAAATACAGAAATTGAGAACAGATATTAGTTCTTACATGGTAGATATTATATCTTCTATAGGATAAGCATATACTAAGTGCTTGTTGAAAACTATTTGGGTTCTTCCTATTTTGTTTTCTAGGAATGTATGGTGAACAAATTCAAGAAAACATCTATTCGTAAGCAACAGACAAATAATCAAACAGAAGCAGTCAAAATAATTGAAAAAGATGTTATGGAAGGCAAGTAGTTAAACAAATTGTTTTATGAAATTTACATGTGTATTTTATATATCATAATGTGTTTCAATAGAAATGATTGCCCCTAGAGTGATATAATACACAGTCATATATGGTATGGCTGTGGGTTACCAGAAATGACCTTTTTTGATTTCCTGTTCTCACATTTACAAATTTATCGCTGTTTACCATTATCTCTTTCACTTTAGCTTCAGAGGAAAAGTCACTTTTTCCTCTAGATGAAAGATACTTCTATCTGTCCTCTGTCCCTCTTATCCCTTCTCATCTTCTGAAGTTCAAATCATGAACTCTTCTGTTTTTCAGTCTTTCCTTCTCTTTTGATTCCATATCTGGAGCCTATAAGTAAGCTCTTACATAAAAAGAAAAACAAAAACAACCAATCGACAAAAGGAACAAAAGAAAAGGAAACAAAAACCTGAAAATAGTTATCCTAAACCCTGCCTTTTCTTTTTTTCTTTAAATAACCAATGGTTCTTTAAGCATAGCCCACACTGGTCTCTGCTTCTTTACTTCCCATGTATTACCTTATGCACAGTAAACAACTTTCTCCTACCAGTAGTCTACTGAAACTGCTCTGACAGAAGTTACCAACACTGACTTCCGTAGGTTCTTTTGAATCATTATCTTCTGTAACATTTTTCACCAACTACATTTTTTATGAATTATTTTCCTTCCTTAGTTTCTGTGGCACCTCACAGAAATGTTCTAATGTTCTCTTTAGAAATGGCCTAATGTTCTCTTTATCCCCTCATCATTTTTTCAGTCTCTGTGCTTTTCTTTCTCTACCAATTTTTTAGAATTTTGTATTTCTCAGTACTCTGTTATTATCTCCATTACCTTCTCCCTTTATATTCCTTCCTGATGAATTCATTTACTTATGGAGCTCAAATTAATATCTAGATGTTTATTAATAATACATTGTATTTCTAGCACAGTCTCTTCTAAACTCTGGTCTCATACATCCAACTGTCTGCTTGTATCTCTCCACAACAGTCACATAAAATCAATATATCCAAAAAATTTTCATATCCTTTAGCATACCCTACCCCACAAAGAAAACAAAACAAAAACTTGCAGTTATCACCTTCATTTATATTGAAAAGGGGCCCCACCATCTACAAAGCCAGAAGTATAGAGTTATCCTAAATACTTCATCTGTAGTACTGTGTCTTATTCGTTATATCTGTTAAATATTTGCCAAGTCTGTTTCTTTACTTCTGTTTTAAATACTACATTTATTCAAATTCTTATCCTTTCATTTGCCAATTACAGTATTTTCCTAACTAGTTTGCTTTCTTTCAGTCTTTTATATCTCTAATTTTACTGCATGATCTTATTACTTCAGAAACTTTCAGTGGCTCCCCGTCTTCCACAGGATAAAGTTTAAATTCCTAAATGTGGCACACAAAGCTCTTTATAATCTAGACCCTTCTCTTCCTTCTAGTCTCATCTTTTGTCTTTTCTTTATACTCTGCCCCAGCCATACTGAATTACTTGCAATTCCCAGAAAGTGCCACTTTCTCTCATACTTTACCTTTCCCTTGCATGTATTTATACTTTCACCTGTAATCAACCCCAGTCACTATTTTCAAGATGCAGAATACATTTGTTCCTTATGAATCCAATTTTGCCATCTGTTCCTTTTTCTGTACCCTTTCACATTCATAATCGTGGAAATTGTTGATTTTTCTTATTTTACTACAAAATCAACATTTGTTTTCCTTTATATTTTGAGGGGGGATGGATTTATAGGCCTCAGACATGATTGTTTAACATGATTAGGAAATACAGTGTAATTATACTTTATAATTTTAATCTATATATATTTAAATCTATATAGATTTATGAGATGTGGTAGAAGAACTCAAACCTATTAATACATACTCTGATCCTTTTTGTGAAAGAAGAGATATAAATAATCATGGAAAAACTAAGTAGTGAAAACTTGACTGGTCAGAGATATATGAATCATTTTTTTAATAATTGGATTTCTTTTGTAGGTGTTACTGCAGATGATCACATGATGAAAGTAGAGACTGTTCACTGCAGTGCTTGCAGTGTGTATATCCCTGCTTTACACAGTTCAGTTCAGCAGCACTTAAAATCGCCTGATCACATCAAAGGGAAACAGGTAAATTTTGATCTGTCTTATGTTGAATTATCCATCAATACTTTATTGTCCTTAGGCCATTGTTTACTACCTACTTAATCTGCATACAATCCTATCGATCTCATATGTGAATAACTAAATATATTGAAAAAAGGCATTAGAGTGTAGTGGTTAAGATTGTGGGCTTGGGGCCAGGTGCAATGGCTCATGCCTGTAATCCTAGCACTTTGGGAGGCTGAAGCAGGAGGATCACTTGCAGCCAGGAGTTTGAGACCAACCTGGGTAACTTAGCAAGACCTTGTCTCTGCAAAAAATAAAAAAATTAGCTTGGTGTGGTGGTATGCACCTATAGTCACAGCTACTGGGGAGACTGGGACAGGAGGATTGCTTGAGCCCAGGACTTTTAGGTTGCAGTGAGCTATGATGATGTATCACTATACTCTAGCCCAGGCAACAGAGTGAGACCCTGTATCCTAGTTAGATAAATAGGTAGGTAGGTAGGTAGGTAGGTAGGTAGGTAGGTAGGTAGATAGATAGATAGATAGATAGATAGATAGATAGATAGTAGCCTCTGGAGCAAGACTTCCTGGGTTTGAATCCTGGTTCAGTATATAACATGTGTTAAGCAAGTAAGTTAAACTTTCTTTGTCCAAGTTTCCTTATCTGTAAAATGAGGATGGACAGTTATTCTTTTATGTGATTGTTTTAAGGATTAAATTAATTAAAACATATAAGGCAATTAATATAGTGCCTGATAATGGTAAGCATTCAGGAAATTATAGCTGTTGTTGAACTGTTGTTTTTATTAACTTTTTTTTTAAGTTGGTACAAAACTATTTTGTGAGTGTATGTAGGTGTTTTAGAACAAAAAAAGAAAGTAAAGATTGGATTATTACCAATACATTTTTCTAATGCTTGGAAAAAAAATTAAAAGGTAGGATTACTAGTTACCATCTATTGTTATATTTTTTGAGTAGAATACTCCTGAAAAACTTACTGTTTTCTTTTTGATTAGTATATTTCTGCTTCGATATTTGTTGGCTTTATTTAGTCAAATTTACTTCAAACAATACAAATGTTTATATTGTGGGAAATTAGTTTGTTACGAAAGCAAATTTAAAGATTGACATATTAAAGACATAAGTTTTGAGTAGAGCATAGATAAGTCTTAACTTTATATTTTGTGTTGAAATGAACCTCATTTAATTCAGACTTCTTTAGGCACTTTGAGCACATGTAGTCTTTTATAAATCTTTGCACTTTTTCTTCCTTGGTATTCTCCTGATACCTTTTGGCAACTAGACGTTCTATATTATTACCTTTCTTCCTCTATATAATACAGTCTTACAATAACTACAGCCTAGAGGAAGACTAATTACTCTTGTTGTGTGAAAAATTATTCTTTTTTGACAGCATGAAAATTAGTAGTTAGGAGTTGGGGAGATAGACATAGAGTAGAAATAAAAGAAAGCAACTGTCTAGTAGATCTAGACTTGTAGTATTTGGGGATTGAGTGTTTTTTATTGAAGCTGATTGACTTGAATCTTTATTTTAATTTATAGATGATTGTGGTTACAGTAGTAGTTGTTGCTCTATAGCTGAGTTTGCCAGAAAATAAATCATTTAAATCTAAGAATTTGAACATAAATACTGTTTTAATTACGGAACTAGTTTTCATGGCATGGTTTTCAAGTACCCTCAGTGTGTTCTGTTTTTTTTTTTAATAGGCTTATAAGGAACAAATAAAACGAGAGAGTGTTTTGACTGCTACAAGCATTTTAAATAATCCAATAGTGAAGGCACGATATGAACGTTTTGTTAAGGTAAGATTTCAGGGCAAAAGCTTTTCCAGTAGTCTTGTAGTACTGTAATAATTAAATGGCGACATAGTAATCCTTTGTGGTATTTAAATATAGCACAACATATTAGGAATAGTTTTACTTAATATCTTGCATATAGGTAAAACATTTTTTTCCTAATTATTGTGATTGGCTAAGAGGGGAATAGTAAGTTATTCTTCTCTTATTCTCTTTCTAGCTCTGAGTCAGTTGAGAGATACACAAGAATTGGATAGAAGATCAAAATGTTAGCTTTATTCTTGATTTAAAAATAAGATTGACTTGGAGAATATATCTTAGATATGTAGTTACTGTGGACTTTTATATTTCACTCCTAACTTAAGTTTACATCCCCCCAACTTCTGTGACTGGCCCAGATGGACATCACTAGGCTCCCCCTAGTTTACCACACCACATAAAGCAGACTAGAATATATTCCTTCCATTGCTAGGAAGACCCAGAGAGGGAACCCACAAAAGAATGAGTTATGTACACTCAGTTTCTTCTTCCAAGCATACTAATTAGGTAAATCATTCCTCTTCCTTGGATAAAAGTTGGAGAGGAAGCAGGTAGTCAGATATGTTGTTTCAGAAGGGCAGGAGAAAAGAGGTTTGCTCCTAATGTTAGGAAACTCAGATGTGAACAATTGGTATACTTGGCTCACTTTACTCCTTAGGGTTTTTGACATATATTATTGCTTGAATCCACTTTGACATAAAATTTATTTTAAACACTTATACAAATAAGAACTTACTATTATTCAGGAAATTAATAGGAATAAATTTTAGAATATAGTTTTGAGTCTTTAAAAAATAAAACCTAGCTTAAAATCATTCTACACTGAAGAGAGCTGTTATGTTGAAGAATTATAACAGTTATTTATATTAGTAAGTAAATATTTTGGGCCGGGCGCGGTGGCTCATGCCTGTAATCCTAGCACTCTGGGAGGCCGAGGTGGGCGGATTGCTCGAGGTCAGGAGTTCAAAACCAGCCTGAGCAAGAGGGAGACCCTGTCTCTACTATAAATAGAAACAAATTAATTGGCCAACTAATATATATAGAAAAAATGAGCTGGGCATGGTGGTGCATGCCTGTAGTCCCAGCTACTTGGGAGGCTGAGGCAGAAGGATTGCTTGAGCCCAGGAGTTTGAGGTTGCTGTGAGCTAGGCTGACGCCACTGCACTCACTCTAGCCTGGGCAACAAAGCAAGACTGTGTCTCAAGAAAATAAATAAATAAATAAATACATATTTTGTAGCTTAAAGAAGTATTATTTATTTTCTCTATCATGGTGATTACCAGTTCCTCTGTGAAGAAACCTGATGTGTATTTTAATGACCATTAAATTATCCCTCAAACAGTGACTTCTGAGTTGGATAATCTCGCTTCTTTTGGCGTGCTTCTTAGGGGCTTATTTTCTAATTTGTTAATCATATCGTCACTGTTTACTACATTCTTGACACTGCTTTAAAAAAAATGAACACAGTTCTGAATTGAAATTTTATGGGAAGTATAGTGTTTAATTTAGCTATGATGCCCTTATCAAAAGGACAAGAGCTTCATGGCTATATTAGGAAAAATTAGATTTTTATCCTTGCTTTGTCACAACTTTTGAGAAGTTAGTAGTTTAGTGATGTAAAAAGTATTTTTTAATGAGGGAGGAATATAAAATTAGAATTTCTGTAGTGTTTTCAAACTACACAATTGAGTCACTCATGTAACGGGAGACAACACTTGTGTTGTCTCATGTGTATGTTGTAGAGAAAGCACTGCACTTAGGAAAACTCTTCTGGAACCTTGTTACTCAGACTATGATCTGTGGACCAGCAGTATTAGTATCACCTGGGGGCTCTATTAGAAATGCAGAATTTTAGGTCCTACCCAGGCCTACTGAATAAAAATCTTTTAATAAGATCCCAGTTGCTTCATATGCATGTTAAAATTCAAGAAGCACTGGAGTCACATGACCAATGAGAGATCATTGGATCTCTCTTTGTTCTGCATTCCTTTTGCTCTGTTCCATATTGCTATTCCTCAGAACATTCATTCTCTGCTCATGGTCCGCTTTGGTCATGGCTTAAACATCTTTCACTGGCAAGTGCTCTGAGAAAATACCCTTTTAAATCCTTTTCCCCATCAAATAAATTGATAAGTTCATCAATCTCTTAATTCTCCAGCTGTATCATCTTGTTCTATCTTCACTCTCTGCTCTGGGCACTTGTGGTCACCCCTTTCAACATGAAATGCTGCTGTTCTTTTACCATTTAACAGTTTCCAACACTATGCCATCTGTGGTTAGCTTTATTAATTGTCTGCCTTGCTAAAAAATACTATGAAATTGTGCCAGTACCATGTTTGCAAGATTTTCACTCAGTTCACAGTAATTTTACATACTGTCAATGTAATATGTTTCCTATAGTGACTGTTTCAAATCTTTTTCATGTCTCACATCCCAGATTTCATACTTATTCTCCTCACTTCCCATATTCTTATTTCTTCTCTTGCATTACGGATATTGAGACCATTATGTTCTCCTCTCTGCCATATATATATATATATATGTCTTTCCCTAATCTTTATTATTATCTGTGAGGGAAGATATTCTTCTTTGCCTTTCATCTGTGTTCTTGTCTTATCATTATCTTTTCCCTTACTTGCATCTGATGTTTTTCTTATTTTTTTCTGGTCTTCCCCAAACAGACATGCTTATGTGTTCCCTAAACTAAAAATGACTTAGTTTTTCCTAGACTTTTATTATTAACTCTTCTCTTCCCACCATGCTTGAACAGATAGTTTACCTTAATGTGCTTTTTACTTCCTATTATTCACTTTTTAAACTAGTAGTTATCAACTGGAGGAACGTAGTCAGAATCACCTGTGAGGCGAAGAGCAACTAAAAAGCTACCTAGGCCTTTTTCCAGACCTTCTGAATTAGTGTTTTCCAAAATTCGCGATAAATATCTCCTGAAATGTTTCTTCAACATGCAGGTTACCGGTCTTCTACCCTGGGAATTTTGATTCAGGAGGTCCAGGATTGATTCAGGAATTTGTGTTTTTAGCAGGAGTTCTATGACTTGACTAAATTAAAATCCCAGAGTGTGGAACCAGAGCCTGCATATTTTGAGAACTTCACAGGAAATTATGAAGATACATTCTGTACAACTGCTAAGCCTTACATTATACTTCTAAAACTTTCTTCCTAAGATTACCAGTGATGTAATTATCAAATCTAGTGGCCTTTAAAAAATGTTAACATTATTATCATTTTAAACATACAAAAGTAAAGAAGGATAGTATAATAAATCCTAAAGAACCTCATTCAGTTATAAAGATGATCAACTCTAGTGAACTTTTTCAGTCCTTTTGTACTTTTATCTATTTGCATCATTTGGCAGTGTTCATCTTTCACTTAGTCTTGAAACTATTTTACTAGATAATATTTTACTTTCGTGGTTTTCCTCCTGCACCCAGTATTCGTTCTCTTCTGACTTCTGCCCCCATTCACAGTATAGGTATTTTTATAGGATTTTATTCCAGCCCTTTTTAACATTTAACTCCTCTAGTCCCACCCCAGGGCTGTCCCATTTACTGTGCACTGTATGCACACAATTCACAAATGTAAATATCTACTTTGGACTCTCCTCTTTTAAGTTGCAAGTTTATAGCTGCCTGTTAGACTTTTAGACACCTGAAATTCTAATTGTGCATAACATACACTTACCTACTTCTTTCCCTTTTCTTTTCCATTAGAATAGGGATTCTAATGACCTATTCTGTTAATGCTGTCACCACATCTTTTACATTTCCCTGTTTCAGGCTATTAGAGTAGCCCCTAGTATCTCTTCTCTTGCTACTTCACTTCATCCTGCACATTCCTACCTGGTTAATCATAAAGGGTAGCACCAGTCTTAATACTTGCCTGTTTTAATAACCTTTGCTGACACTTCATTTCTTACCACATTATTATAGCTTTCTCAGATAGTCCAATTTATATGAGATTTGACCCAGATACATAATTCAAATATTTAAATAAAATATTAAAATAAAATTGTACCTGTGAATGTTTACCGAATTAAAGATTTGTCTACTTTCTTAAAGTAGAAATGAGGCATGATATCTAGTAGAAAAAACAAGGCACCTAATTTTCATTTGAGTTTTAAAGAGATCCTATAACAGTAGTACATTGAATACTGGTATAATTAAGTAAACTGTAAATTTTTTTTTTTTTTTTTTTTTTTAGACAGAGTCTCACTTTGTTGCCCAGGCTAGAGTGAGTGCCGTGGCGTCAGCCTAGCTCACAGCAACCTCAATCTCCTGGGCTCGAGTGATCCTTCTGCCTCAGCCTCCCGGGTAGCTGGGACTACAGGCATGCGCCACCATGCCCGGCTAATTTTTTTTTTTTTTATATATATATCAGTTGGCCAATTGATTTCTTTCTATTTATAGTAGAGACGGGGTCTCGCTCTTGCTCAGGCTGGTTTTGAACTCCTGACTTTGAGCAATCCGCCCGCCTCGGCCTCCCAAGAGCTAGGATTACAGGCGTGAGCCACAGCGCCCGGCTAAACTGTAAATTTTTGCATCATCTGTTTGGTTTCTACTACAAACCACATATTTGCCTTTAGCATATATATATGATTTTAGAAATTCAGTTACAAAGAAAATATGACCTGTGAGTACTCCAGCTGATGGCATATAAAGTAATGGCTTCAGTAAATTATATACCCACATTGGTAAGAAATAGGTATTCAACAAATATTTAATTGCTTTGTTATAAGTTAAAATAAAAAGTGTCAAATAGTATTTCTTCTTCATGATATAGCAAATAAAAATGTCATTGATGTCAAAATGAATGTTCTGATTTTAAAAGCCTTGTCTCATGTTTTTAGGGTGAGAATCCTTTTGAAATTCAAGATCATTCTCAGGATCAGCAAATAGAAGGAGATGAAGAGGATGAAGAAAAGATTGATGAGCCTATTGAAGAAGAAGATGATGAAGAGGAGGAGGAAGAAGTAGAGGGAGTAGGAGAGGCAGAGGAAGTGGAAGAAGTGGAGGAAGTGGAGGACGTGGGAGAAACTGGAGGAGTAGAGGGCAAGGAGGACACAGAGGGAGGTGGGGAAGCAGGGGCAGTGGGGGAAGTAGAGGGAGTAGGGGGAGTAGAGGAAGAAGAGGCAAAGGAGGAGCCTGTTGACATCCCTCCTGAACAACCTGAAGAAAATTAAATATAAGGTATTAGATTTAAAAGGAGCTTTAAATTTCTGTCCTAACGTGGAAAAGGGTAAGAATTTTATTAGGTCATTAAATATGAAATGTCCAGTTTCGAATCAAACGTGTATTTTATTGTATCTCAAACAAGAAACAGTACAATTAGTCAAAGTGTGTGCCTAAACTATTTACACGGTTTTGCTGTCTTAACAGTAGCTTGTTTATGCCTGCAACAAAGAGAGTGAGTGGCAGTGGAGAGTGAGTGGCAATGAAATTGCAAAAGGTGTTTTCCACAGCTTGTTGAGGGTTTAATATTTTTCCTTGCAAGAAGTGGCCCAAAGCCTGGAAGAAGCGGTGGTCAGTTGATGCAAGGTCTGGTAAATATGGTGGAAGACAGAGAGTTTCCAAGTCCAGCCTCTGTAGTTTGAGCAGTGTTGTTTGTGCAACATGTGGTTGAGCATTGTCTTACAAGGATTGGCCTGTCTCTGTTGACCAAATTTGGCTGCTTAATTGCAAGCATCCTTATCATTCATCCAACTGGTGGCAGTAGACATCTGCTGTAATCCATTGACCAAGTTTCACACAAAGCTGTAGTGGATAATACCAGTGCTGGACCACCAAACAGGCACCATTAGCTTTTTTTGATGAATATTTGGTTTTGAACTGTGTTTTGGCACTTCATCTTTATCCACCTATTGTGCCTAATGCTTGCAATTGTCAAAAAGAATCCATTTTTCATCACATGTAACAATGTGGTATAGAAATAGTTTGCTTTTATATCATGACAGCAAAGAAAGGCAAACTTTGAGATGCTTTTTCTTTTGTTGCTCATTTAATTCATGCAGTACCCATCTCTCCAGCTTCCTTACCTTGCTGATTTGTTTCCAGTGGTCCAATATTGTTGGAATAGTAACATCAAACCTTGCTGCTAATTCTTAGGTAGGTTGAGATAGATTCACTTCCACTATAGCTTTCAGCTCATCATTATCCACCTTGGTCTTAGGTTGCTCAGGTGGCTCATTTTCAAGAGTAAAATCACCAGAACAGAACTTCTCAAACCATCGATGTACTTACTGTGTGTTCATTAGGCACATCCTTCCCAAACACTTCATTGATATTTTAATAAAGCTGTCTGCACTGCATTAATTCCACAGCGGAACTCATATTTGAAAATAACATAAATTTTTGACTTATCCCTGGTTTCACAAAAGTTGCTCTAAAAATTTTTTTGAAAGATAGTCACAAGCCAAACCGTGTGTTTGAAAGACTGAGGATCTACATAGAAATAAAACAAGGAGTGTTAAGGTGAAATGTCAGAGATGTCAACTTAGTACTTAAGGAAATATTGGACATTTCATACTTAATAACCTAATAGTTTAAAATATGAGTTAACACCCATGTTGCATGCATTCCACACATTAAAATTGTGTTTTATATAATTTCTAAATGTTTGGCATTTGTTTAATAAAATGACGGTAAGACTATTTTAGTTTAGTTTTTATAGCTACCAAACTAGATCTGATAAATTGTTTGTATAATTTTTAAGCTTGATTTTTATTACTTTATTGGTGTTAAGGATAACAAACATGTATTAGTAGTATATTCTAATCATTTGAACTTAAATGCTGCTCTTGGGAGTGAATATTCAAGTGTGCATTAATTTTTTGAATACTTACCCTAGAAGAGATAAATTGGGCAAGTATTTTGTGCTCTGTGTATTTTTTTACAGCATTGGACATTGAATAGTAATTTGCGTTAAGATACGCTTAAAGGCTTTTTGTGACCATGTTTCCCTTTGTAGCAATAAAATGTTTTTTACAAAATCTTTCTCCCTGGATTAGCAATTTAAATGAAATAGTTCATCAATTAAATGAGTATTTAAAATCAAGATTTGCCTTAATGTATGAGTTCAGGTCACAGTATTTCAAGATGATTGAAAAGACTTGAATTAAAGAAAATTTTTTTCTCAACATCATATTTTTAAAATGTACGACTGAAATATTTTTTTTAACACATTTCAAATAGAGGTCAGTCTGTAACTGACCTTGTTTATACTTGTTTCAGTTTGTTCCTTTTCTCTGTGCCTGTGTCAGATCTTGAAATCTTCCTGAAAATACATTTGAATACAAATAAGTCTTTTGTAGTTGCGTTAGTTCTTTTGTCATGTCTGTTTTTGGCTGAAGAACCAAACTATCTTTTTTAAAATAATTATTTCTTTTTCAAATATTTCTCTCCCTATTTTTCTCTTTTACAGTTTATGGCTTGTATTCTTAAGGATCTCATAAGTAATTTATTTTCAAATGACGATCTATCTATGTCACTGAAAAGTAGTGCTCTATCTCTTTGAATCTTTACTTTGGCTTTTTTTAAGAGAGGGGCTTTATTTCAATGAAATTAGCTTCTTAAAGTTTTGAGGCATTGAATGGATGAATGTGTAGGTATATTAAATAGTAAGGCATTAAGCGGATGAGTACATGTACATGTGTAGAATTCTGCAGGTAATTTCTCTTTTTACACAAAACAAGGCTTTTAAAACTAGATTTCCTGGACCAGTATGGTGTTTTTTTTTTTTTTTTTTTAGGTGAGCTAGGTTTGCTTACCTTTAAGTTGGGAATATCTAGTAGACACTTATATCTAATTGTAGGGATTTGGAGCCAAATAAGAGAAAGTTAATTGAAGATTAGAGAAAATTGGATCCTGTGTAGGAGTCTGTATTTACTTTGTAGGCTTCTGAAAGCCTTTTTGCTTAGGATTTCAAATTTTAAGGATAATAGGACTTGATTAACCCTCTTGTTTCTCCTTTATTTTAAAATACTTGTAAGTGCTAAGGTAAAATAATAATAGGGTCTCCCGGATTATAGTTAGTATTTGGTTCTTTCGATACTAAGTAGGGTGATTTAAAAAATGACTGAGATAGGGGCCGGGTGCGGTGGCTCACGCCTGTAATCCTAGCACTCTGGGAGGCCAAGGCGGGCGGATTGCTCAAGGTCAGGAGTTAAAAACCAGCCTGAGCGAGACCCCGTCTCTACCATAAAAATAGAAATTAATTGGCCAACTAATATATATAATATGAAAATCAGCCGGGCATGGTGGCGCATGCCTGTAGTCCCAGCTACTCGGGAGCCTGAGACAGGAGGATCGCTTGAGCCCAGGAGTTTGAGGTTGCTGTGAGCTAGGCTGATGCCACGGCACTCACTCTAGCCTAGGCAAGAAAGCGATACTCTGTCTCAAAAAAAAAAAAAAAAATGACTGAGATAGGAAACTTTTAGAAAGAATGCTGGCTGGGTTTGGTGGCTCACGCCTGTAATCCTAGCACTCTGGGAGGCCAAGGTGTGAGGATCACTTGAGGTCAGGAGTTCAAGACCAGCCTGAGCAAGAGCAAGACTTCATCTCTACTAAAAATAGAAAAAAAACTAGCTGAGCATAGTGGTGCACACCTGTAGTTCTAGCTACTCAGGAGGCTGAGGCAGGAGAATCTCTTAAGCCCAGGAGTTTGAGGTTTTGAGGTTGCAGTGAGCTATGATGACCCCCATTGCACTCTAGTGCCCAGGTGACAGTGAGACTCTGTCTCAAAAAAAAAAAAAAAAAAAAAATCCTATATAAGCAAGAATCCTGTGTAACAACTTACTGGTAAGTGTTTTAGAATGAGAGACAGGAAAGAACATCTAAGTAGTATTTTTTTGTGGAAAGCATTAGTCTTTATACAGACTAGCTTATTTGAAAGATATTAATAAAGTGTATTTTGTTCTGCTTAGTTCAAAAATTCACATTTATGTATTTCCTATTGTGTAATTTGTAGATGGGTTAGTTTATAGGCAGATTATATTTTGTGATCTGTATATATTTTCATTGCTTTTATATAATAAGGATTTATATAAGATCTTTAATAACCTTTCAACTTCTATTTTCCAAATACTGTTTTCTTTATTAAAAAGTAAGATATTAAAAAATGAGATACACAGTTTTAAATAACCAAAGACATTTATTTACAACCTGTACAGTTGTTTAAGCCAGATGCCTAGGGACTGTCCTGTATTCATCCCTTTTTATCACTTCCTACTTCCAATCTATCAGAAAGTCTGTCCTACTTCCAAAATTTATTAGCCTACTTTTCCACCTCCATTGCTACCAGCCTCGTTCAAGTCTTGTTCTTCTCTTCCTTCGACTATTGAAATAGCCAGCTAATCTTGCTTCGACCCTTATCCTGCTAGACTCAGTTTTTTACAAAGAAAGATAAGCTTTTAAAAATGTAATTCAGATAATGTTAATCTCATGCTTTCTTTTACACCTGTACAATCCAAACTCCTTACCGAGGCAATCCAACTGGCCTAGGTTTTCCACTTTATATCATTCCATTCTTCTCACCACCCATACTAGCCTTCTGTTACTTTTTTTGGATGAAGCTCTTTCCTACAAAGCTCTTTGCATTTTCTGTAGTTTATACCTGTCAGCTTTCCTTGGCTGACTATCCTAAACTATCTCTACTTTAACCAATCTCTACTTACAAAAGTAGGGAAACTCCTACTTTGATATGGGAGAATGATAAGCACCAGAAATTTGTTTGAGCAACCTATCAATGCTCTAAAAGTGCAATCACTGACTATCACCTTCAAAATCACCTGGGATACTTGTTAAAAACACAACATCTCCAAGCTGGGCCTGGTGGAGCACACCTGTGGTCTCAGCTATTTGGGATGCTGGGACTTCATTCTTCAGGTTATGTTAAGTGTTAGAAAAGGGCAGTAGTTCTTAAATTTTTGTAAAAGTGAAGATTTTGGGGCATCACACCAGATTTACTAGAAGATATTATTTGGAGATGGTGTTTTTTTTTCTTTTTTTAATTTCAAAAGTTTTTATATTTTTAGAGATGGGATCTTGCTATGTTGCCCAGGCAGGATTTTAACTCTTGAGCTTAAGTGAACCTCCCACCTCTGCATCCCAAATAGCTGGGACCACAGGTGTGCTCCACCATGCCCAGCTTGGAGATGTTGTGTTTTTAACAAGTATCCCAGGTGATTTTGAAGGTGATAGTCAGTGGTTGCACTTTTAGAGCATTGATAGGACGCTCAAATAAATTTCAGGTGTTTATCATTTTCCCATATCAAAGTAGGAGTTTCCCTACTTTTGTAAGTAGAGATAGGTTTGAGGGATTCTCCA